ATGGTGATGATTGACACCAACAATAGGCATAATTGGTCGACCATACAATTATCTTTGTACGTTGTCGAACGCAATTACATCACCGAAGCATGTGTAATCCGATCTCGATGTAGAATCCGACCAAATAAGATTATACAATGCCCCCGATTCGTCTACCGAGTATGTCATAAAACCCGGGATCATCATGTTTCTTATAATCAAAGTAGGCAATAAGCTCATTCACATCCCCATCGACGATTTCCTTGCTTTACCTCTTTGAAGTGCATTGTAGAGGTCTTTATGTGTAAATCCAACATTATAGCCCCCTGCCTGCTGCGTTAAATAGTTCATTACTTGTGACGTGCCAACACCGACCTCTTTCAATGTTGTTGCCTCATCGATATCAGCCTTACTTACAGCTCGATTAGAACGCATAAATGGTGTCATAGCAGATGTGCACAATGCATGATTATGTTTCTGATCAGACTTACTTATAACCCACTGATCGTTTGTATTTGTTGCTGTAACTACGACTCTAGCCTTACATCCTGTTCTTGTGACTGGCGTATGAGCACGTTGACGATCAACAGTATTGACTTTTGATACTCGAAACCCTTCTTTGGAACAACACAATTCTTGTGTCTTCACATTCCCTTCCACGTCAAGCCGTGTTGTTCCCTTACGTGCACTAAACCCATGTTCCCGTGCGAATCCCTTGTAAAAGTGCCAAGCTGATCACGTGAACAGAAGAGCTGACCAACCAATCTGTCAGATTCATCAACATTATGTACTTCATGGCATTCCTCGTTGGCTTAACATTGTCTACATCAGTATTATCCATGGCAAAAATTTTGTTGTGCAAGTTCAGTGCTCCAGGAGTTTATGGATATGTGAAGGTTCATTTTGAACATGTTTCTGTCGTGCTGCTTTCAATAGGATGTGGCATTGGTAGTGGTAGTTAAAGGGTGGGTACAACATTAAATTCGCAGTACATATTTAGGTATGTACAATAACTACAAGTATATTATCATTTTAAATTCGCAGTACACTGTTAAAAAAATTGAAACATAAATTACATAAGTTTTAAAAAAAGTATCGATCCTTTTTATAAATATGGACACTTTCAATATAATAGGTAAACATATGATGTAATAGGTAGCCCTTATATAATGTAATAGGTATCGTTTATATAATGTAATAGGTAGTGGTTATATTGTAAAGTGTCTATCCTTTTTATAAAAGTGTCCATACTTTTTTCACTGTGGAAAACATTAATTTAAGGTTATCTTTTGAGTGAGTTTTAAGATATTAATTTAGTAATTATAGCGTCTAATGATTTATTTTTACGTTACGGTATATATTATTATAAATTAAAATTCTAAATAATATTTTATAAAATATAAAACAATCAAATAATTTTTTGTGCAAATGAAATTATTAAATCAATATTGTAGGTGGAAAACATGAAACACTGTTAAAAAATTGAAACATAAATTACATAAGTTTTAAAAAAAAGTATCGATCTTTTTTATAAAAAGTATGGACACTTTCAATATAATAGGTAAACATATGAGTAATAGGTAGCCCTATATAATGTAATAGGTATCGTTTATATAATGTAATAGGTAGTGGTTATATTGTAAAGTGTCTATCCTTTTTATAAAAGTGTCCATACTTTTTCACTGTGGAAAACATTAATTTAAGGTTATCTTTTGAGTGAGTTTTAAGATATTAATTTAGTAATTATAGGCGTATAATGATTTATTTTTTACGTTACGATATATTATTATTAATTAAAAATTCTAAATATTATTTTATAAAATATCAAAACAATCAAATAATTTTTTGTGCAAATGAAATTATTAAATCAAATAATTCAAATTGAAAATTAAACACAAATCAATTAACATTGTTGTGGGTACATTAATTGAACATTGTTATGAGTACATTATTTGGATTAATTTCGTTGAGATGGGTTATGTATAAAAACAATCTATCTCGCATGTGAGTACTTTATTCCAACCATGTGACAAGTGTGACAACTCCATCAACTCACAACTCAGCTTTGAACTCAATCAATATTGTCTTTTAGCTTGATGGTTCATAAAGCATGTTACGTGAACAGTATGAATCAATTATGCAATTTTCATGTTCAATTTAACACTGCATTTCAAATTCATTTCATATGTAATTGGAGTTTGAATTTAAATTTCAATTTGAATTTGAATTTCAATATATATTTCGGCTCCACTATAAATATTAGCCCAAGCCAATGCATGTTATCATTGATTATTCCTAATTTCCATTGTTTTTTTCCAACGTATAAACGCGAGGGAAATCCCGACCATTTTATTTTTGGTCAACTTTAAAGCGTCAGAAACGTTTCGGGCGTATGATCTGGGTGGTATACAAGAAATGTAACAAATAGCAACTAAAATCATAAGTTGAGTACCACCCAAATCATAAGTCTGAAATACTTCCGATGCTCATCAAAATCCAAAGCTCATATGGTGCCAAGCAAAAGGAAATCAAATCAAAATCTCATATGATGCCAAGCAAAAGGAAATCAAAATCCAAATCTCATATGATGCCAAGCAAAAGGAAATCAAAATCTACAACTTGAGTTTGAACATTGATATGATATGTTCAGTTGTTATCATGTTGGATTTTCTCGTTTTTGATTGCTTGGATAGTTGTTCTCTTGCTTCTTCAAGTGTTCTTAAGGTTATCCTTTGAGTGAGTTTTAAGATATTAATTTAGTAATTATAGGCGTCTAATGATTTTTCTTACGTTACGATATATATTATTATTAAATTAAAATTCTAAATATTATTTTATAAAATATAAAACAATCAAATAATTTTTTGTGCAAATTAAATTAAATTAATATTGTAGGTGGAAAACATGAAACACTGTTAAAAAATTGAAACATAAATTACATAAGTTTTAAAAAAAGTATCGATCCTTTTTATAAAAAGTATGGACACTTTCAATATAATAGGTAAACATATGATGTAATAGGTAGCCCTTATATAATGTAATAGGTATCGTTTATATAATGTAATAGGTAGTGGTTATATTTAGTAATTATAGGCGTCTAATGATTTATTTTTTACGTTACGATATATATTATTATTAATTAAAATTCTAAATATTATTTTATAAATATCAAACAATCAAATAATTTTTTGTGCAAATGAAATTATTAAATTAATATTGTAGGTGGAAAACATGAAACACTGTTAAAGTATCGATCCTTTTTATAAAAAGTATGGACACTTTCAATATAATAAGTAATAGGTAAATTTGCAATGCTATCGGTATAAATATACCGGTTTACTTATAAAATAGGTAAATATAAGCGCTACCTATTACATTATATAAGCGCTACCTAGTATGTTATTGTACTTTATAATATTTCCGGTTAAATAATATAACATAACCGGTCTAAATTTTAACCGGTCACTTGTTTAACCGGTCACGCCGTATATTAGCCGTTTTTTAGGCGCCGCACCGCAGAACCACCCCCTTGCTCCGCATCCTGTTAAGGTTCGTTTATTTACTGAATATAAAATTATTTTTTAGAATAGGATTATTAAAATGTAATATTAGTATAAAAATATTTTATTATATTGTTTGATTTATTTAACAGGAATATAAGATTAAAATGTTTGGTTGAATAAATATAATATTATTTTAATATATGTTTTATTAAATTATTCTTGTGATATACTTTTTTTTATAAAGTTAAATTTTAATATTAAATTATAAAATATTTGAAAATTCAAAAAATATTTTAATTGTTACACTATCTAACTTTTGAAAAAAAATATAATTAATATAATTAGTATATTAAACTTATATTTTAAATAATTATAATAGGTATCATATTGATTTATATAAAATATATATATAAAAAAAATAATATTATGGTCTCGAGTTAATAATATATTTTTTCAATGTTTAAGATTCATTTTTTAATAATTCAAAGTTATACATTATTTTAAATAATTACATTTTTACAATAATATCATTTTCGTCTCATACAATTACAAATAATTAATATGTTGAATATTAAAAATATAAAATAATTTTAACTACTGAAATTTATTAATATTTTACTAAATCAAACTCTTTGTATATTATTAAAATGTTTATAATTTTGAGCAGAGCACAAAAAATAATAATTAAGAATGATCATTTTTAATTTATTATAATAGGTATCATATTGATTTATATAAAATATAATATAATATAAAAAAATAATAATATTATGGTCTTGAGTCAATAAATATATTATTTTTCGATGTTTAAGATTCATTTTTAATAATTCAAAGTTATACATTATTTTAAATAATTACATTTTTACAATAATATCATTTTTGTCTCATACAATTACAAATAATTAATATGTTGAATATTAAAAATATAAAATAATTTTAACTACTGAAATTTATTAATATTTTACTAAATCAAACTCTTTGTATATTATTAAAATGTTTATAATTTTGAGCAGAGCACAAAAAATAATAATTAAGAATGATCATTTTTAATTTATTAATTTAAGGAAATTTGTCTAAAATGATGAAAATTGTATAATACCAAAAAAATCTCAAGGTAATTATATTCTCATAATTTTAACCAAAAAATGTTACTATCGAGAAAAAATTATTATATAATAATCTTTTTAATGAATCAAACGTGGAAATACAATACCATAAAATATTATTCCCCTTAAAAATGATCTTTTTCGCAAACGGGCGAAGGTAAATTTACGTATTTTGTGATTTTATCTCCTTGCATACCATTATTACAGAAGTTGGAGTATTTTGTTAGGTGATAAATGACAGCAGATGAAGATGAGTGATTAATGCTTTAGCCCTCTAATCAGATGAGACGTTCATGAACCAAGCAACAGTCATCAACTTAGAGATGGATGATTTTGGACAATGGATCTTTACGCCTATTTATGAAAGAATTCTCAACAAAAACTCTTCAAACAAGCTGGATATATTAAGTTAAACCTCACACAGTCACTCCAACTTCCGCATAACTTTAGAGTAATGTGTTTAAATGCAAGATCGCACACTGTGAGATGATGTTGATTTTAAACTGTCATTTGTGGGGCTCCATATTCACCTTGTCAGTAACCACCTTCCTGTTGTTCAATACATTGATGAGGAGATCACTGGCTTGACGGGCGGACGGCCGCTCCTGCGCGACCGTTCTCGTGCACTGCAGTGCTATTTCAAGCACCTGATATGCTGCAGACTCCTCGCAAGGTAAGAGCGGTTTCAATGTAGGATCTATCAGCTCCCCACGATCAGAACCTTGCGTTTGGATACGCATTTCCACCCATCTCACCATGTCCATATCTACACCGAAAAAGTTGTCAGTTGGCATTTTCCCGCTTACAATCTCCATTAGCACGATTCCCATACTGTAAACGTCGGTCTTCTCGGTTGCTTTGAGCGTATAAGCGTACTCTGCGAACAGGAACGAGACTTTTTGAGCTTTAAACCATGTATAAAAAATATTGAAGATGTTAACTTGGTACTTACCTGGTGCAATATAACCATAAGACCCTGCAAACAATGAGTTCGATTCTATGTCGGAGATGGAGTCATAATTCTCCACAACTGATTTTGCTAGCCCAAAATCCCCCAAATGTGCTTCCATGTTAGAATCTAGCAACACATTGCTCGATTTGATGTCCCTGTGAACAATCTTCGGCACACAGTCGTGATGGAGGTACTCCACTCCTTGGGCTAATCCGACGGCAATCCTTATCCTAGCCTCCCAATCAAGGCTCTTCTTGATATTTACCGGCTGCTTATGCAGCCAATCCCACACACTTCCATTCTCCATGTACTCGTAGATCAGGAGATTGAAGCCAGCTACTCTGTTTATACAATACCCCATCAACTTCACCAAATGTCTGTGCCTTATCCTCCCAAGTGTCCTGATCTCTCTTGTGAAACTTCTGTTCAGTAGAAGATCTTCCTTCCACAGAATCTTTTTGACGGCCACGGTTTCTCCTGTTCGAAATTCCCCTTTGTAGACCGTTCCAGACCCTCCGGAGCCAATGACGAACTCGTCGCTTAGATTTTTCGTGGCATGCACGATGTCTTCCCATTTGTAGTCTTGCTTATTAGCCCCGTGATGGAAGAGTAGCCTTCTCCTTGCTTGGGAAGAACTGGAAGAAGAGTAGGTGCATTTCACTTCATTGCCTCTCTTGAAATATTCTCTCCTTTGTTTCAAGAAGATGGTTACTACCAGCACCAGCAACGCAATTGCTGCTAAAGTAGAAATCGCTGATACTACCACCACGGACGTTTCACTTAGTGATCGCTGCTTGCCGGATCCAAGGTTGTCACAACCATCAAGAGGGCTTCCACAAAGATCTAAGTTCCCTTCAAATGCTTCGGCTGGCCAGTGCGACAATCGTTTGCTTAATTTGCCTAGGAGATTATTGTGGGAGAGATTAAGCTTCCCCAAGCTGCTCATGTCACCTATTTGAGGAGGGACTTCTCCTATGAGTTGATTGTGAGAAAGATCAAGGGCTTCAAGCTTGGATAGCATTCCGATAAAAGGTGGGATATTTCCGGTGAGGTCGTTGCAACTGAGGTCTAGAATGCTTTGGAGATTCTTTAGTTGCCCAAGCTCAGTTGGTATATCACCATTGAAACCATTCCTTGAGAGCTGCAGCTCATATAGATTGCTTAGCTTGCCTATGGTTTTAGGAATGGGACCAGAAAGTTGGTTTCCATTGAGGTTGAGTATATTAAGAGACGACAAATCACCGATTTCACCATGGAGAGTCCCATTGATCGAGTTGCCGTCAAGGTGCAGTACCAGAAGCTTGGAAGAATTGAAAAGCTGTCGAGGAAGAGCCCCGAAAAAATGATTGGAAGAGAGCCGAAGCTCTCCAAGTTGAGACAAATCACCCAGCCATGGCGGTACCGGTCCAGAAAGCGAGTTGTCGTTTAAATCAACATGACTCAACTTCCTGCACGACTTGAGCTCATCTGGTATAGGTCCAGTGAGCAAATTACCCGAGAGGTCTAGCAGCGACAGTTCACAAATCATGCCCAACGATACCGGGATTCTTCCAGTGAATCTGTTTTTCCCTAATCTTAGTCTATCTAGAGTAGGCGAATTCCCAAGCTCCTCAGGAATTTCACCATCAAATGCATTGTTTGTTACATCAAATGAAAGGAAAGAACGTGAACCACATAATGGAGCAATGCTCCCATTCATTTTGTTCTTGGAGAGATTTATTCTTGTCAGGTTGGCTAAATTGATCAACGAGGCAGGGAGATTACCTTCAAGTGAATTGTTGTAAAGCATGAGCTGCTCCAGGGCTCGAAGGAACCCGAAACTAGTTGGAATGCCACCAGATAGTTGATTGTCCGCAATGTCCAGGATAGTAAGTTGATGGCAGTAACCCAATGTGACTGGAATTTCACCCACAAGCTCATTCTGCCTCAGATGAAGCAGCTGCAGCTCCTTCAGCCTGCCAAAAGTAACCGGGATCTCTCTGGTAAAACGATTGCCAAACAAGTCCACCATTTTCAAGCTCGAACAATTACCGATCTCACAAGGGATGTGCCCACTCAATCGATTTTCGTACAGATACAAGATTTCAAGTGCATCCAGCATTCCTATTTCTCCAGGAAGTTTGCCCTCTAAATTGTTGTGAAACAGAGCAAGTGTCTGCAAGTTGCTGAGGTTTGCTATGGATGGCGAAATCGAACCGACCAGGCTGTTGTTGTGGAGATAGAGATCGGTCAGTTGATGCAGCTCATACAGCTCAACTGGTATCGATCCATTCAGCGTGTTGTTGGACAAATCAAGCTGCTTCAAAGATGAACAATCTCTCAATTCCACTGGGATTTCACCGAAAAGATGAACGTCCGAAAGGATCAAATGCTCCAAATGGCTGGTGTTGGAACATATATTTCTTGGAATTGTACCCGAAAGATTGTTGTTTGATAGAACCAAGTAAACCATCCGACTCAACTGGCCTAGTTCTTCGGGAATGCTTCCTGTGAGCCTGTTTAACGACAAATCAAGAGTCTGAAGATTGCCCAAGTTCGCTAATGACTTCGGTATTGCACCCTCGAGATAGTTCCCCATTAAACTGAGATAACCGAGTTGGCTCAATTCACCGAGCTGGCTTGGTATATACCCTGAAAGAGAGTTGTTTATGAGATTGAGAGTTTGAAGGTTATTGAGACGACCCAGTTCATCTGGGATGGATCCATTAAGATTGTTGAAAGCTGCAGTGAATACGTTGAGGCTTGAACAGTTCCCAAGCTGACGTGGGATAGGGCCATTGAGTTGGTTATCCTGTAGAATCAAATACTCAAGTCCGGCGAGTTGACCCAGCTCGGGGGGAAGTGAGCCTGTGAGACGGCATGAAGCCAAGCCGAGGGTGACCAGGTTGACAAGTTCTCCAAATGTGGAAGGAATGGGACCAGTAAGCTCATTGTCACCAACTCGCATGACTCGGAGACTGGTGAGTGTACCCAGCTGAGGTGGGATGGGTCCAGAGAGCATGTTTGAATACAGAAGCAAAGATTCCAGAGAGGAAAGGTTAGAGAGGGTGGTTGGGATGGGGCCCGTAAGGCGGTTAGACGAAAGATCAAGGTGGCGTAGCTTTTGCAACCCACCGAGCGAGGCTGACATCGAGCCACCGAGTGAGAACCCGGAAAGGTTCAAACTCACAACATGGACTGAGTTGGCGGAGGAGCTAAAGCCACAAGTGACACCAGTCCAACCACAGAAATTAACGGAGTCGCCATGGGAGGACCAGTCACGCAGAACATTCTGAGGGTCTTCAATAAACGAACTCTTAATCTCCAGCAGAAGCGACAACTCTTGGTTTTGACAGAGAACAGAAGCCGAAAACAGAAGAGTGAGTAGGAAGAAGAAACCCTTTTTCATGGCGTCCATCTCTTGGGAGAAACAGGGCATTGCATGAATATTTATTCCGTGGACATGGCGAAGGATCATTAATCGAACCCGCGTTGGAAGTTGGTAATGGTTTGCCTTAAAAAGGGTGAAAACTTTAAAAAGGAGTGGTGCGATAATCAGAGAAGAGATAGAGGGAGCGTTGGGGTGTGTCAGTAGGGTGCCATAAATGAGTTGCCTGTATTCGGAACAAAGAAGCAGCTTGGTGGAGATTGAGGTTTGGTTCTAACTGTACTATTGTCCACAGGTGTGCTTAGGGTCAGCGTTGGATCGAATATAATCGACTCTTGTCCAGTTAAAAAATTTTAAGTTATTCGAGTTGATGAATTTTAATTTATAACTCATACTTGATTTAAAAAATTCGAATCAATCCAAATTTATAAAATTTGAGTCCAGTCGATCTTTCGAATACACTGATTACTAAAAATTTTGAGTCGAGTTAAAAAAATATCTTTCGAATCAAGCCGAATTTAAAAAATATATTTACAAAGTCCAAAAACTAGACTTAAATTTGAAAATTAAATTAATTGATTACTAAAAATTTCGAGTTATTCAAGTTACTCAAATTGTATTTTACCACTAGATTTGAACTTAAAATTTTTTCGAGTCGAGAAAAATTCAATTTTTTAAATCGAGAACGCACCCATAGGTGTGCTCGTAGAATGAATTAATTTAATTATTATTTCTTATTTTCTGAATTAGAAAGTTCAAACCCAGTCAGGGCAATGAGTTGGTATTGTGGGGAAGGTGGCTCTGTTTTGTTATCAACTTTGAATAGTGTGTTAGCTCACGACGACTTCAATTAAAAGCCTCTTTTATATACCGGGTAGAGATATTGATTATTAAAAAGTGATCCCTATTATATAATATTGTTATGTTGAGTTTTTTATTTTTAAAAATTATAAAATATTACTTGATTATTTTTATATTCAAAATTCATTTTTTTTTGTTAAAATTGGGTGGCAGCTTGAATTGGACATTTATCTATTGAATGAGATATGATAAATTCTAGTTTCAAAATTCTAAACAACTATTATATCTCAGTCAGTATCTTAACATTCACGCTCAAACGACTATCAATTTTTCAACAGAGAATGGCGATTTAAGAACATATGAACTATTGAGTGATCATTTTATAACTTTTAATAGTTGATAGACACAACAAAACAATATCCTACAGTCAAATGATCATTTTATAACTTTTAATACTCAATAAAACTTCATAAAGCAAATTCTTATAGTCAGGTGTGTATATATATATATATATAAAGAATTAATAATAGATACAAAATTTTATGTTAAGAGATGAATTTTAAAATTTTAAGGAATAAATTTATAAAATTTAAAAATTAAAAATAAATTATTAATTAAAAAAATATAAAAATTATATGCTAATATTTAAAAATTTTAAAATTTTTAGAGAATCATTCGAAAAAGAAAAAAGAAATTTTAAAAAGTTAGCTGCTCGAAGTCAAAGTTAGGGAATGGAGTCCCCGCCTCAAGTTACGTACTGTACAATATTCTTCACATGACATACGATAATATTCTCCCCCTTTTCCCCCCAAAACCCAAAACCCACGTAATTATCTACAACGTAACCTTGCTGCAACTATTCCCATTAATAATTACGCTCGTTTCATATAAGAATAATATCTCCTATGCCTAATTGTTTATACGTAGAAGAAAACAACTAATAGGACGCTTTGTTTTCTGTTTTCTTTAATTACTCTAATAACTTATCTTAATCATATTAATATTAATATTAATATTGGGTTGAGCCACCAAAACCCTCCTCTTTTTGTGGCACTTCGATTCCTTTCTTCATTGGTAGCCTACTCCAATCGAACCTTACCTCATTCCAAATTCCTTAATTATTTTCTGTTCTGCCCGTGTAATATAATCCCACAATTACATTGGATTTATATGTAATTATTTGGTATATAAGTGGTGAAATTAAGCACAGTTAAAATATTTTACCTCTACTTAATTGATATTAAAAAATAACAAATAATTATTCTTATATTTCTTATAAATCTTCTCTGCAAGATTGATTTTCGTATCTCAAAATTTTTTAGATAATTCTTTGGTAGTTAAAATCCTGATTTTATTCATGATGATTGAATCTGGATTTAGTCGGTCATTAAACTACGCAGCACTTAGAAAAGGAACACTCTCGAGTCATTTATCCATTCGTGTAATGATTTGTTCAAAATAGACAACCTATACACAAGCTATGGTATGATACTAAATGCAGCAAAGACTTTAGATGGGAGTTCTCGAGGGGTATAGTGAAAGTTATAATCTATCCCCCACAACTCAACTAAGGGTGCGTTTGGTTCGTGAAATATAAGATTACCAGTGAGAATGTAAGATTATCAGGGAATAAAATTACTGGGAATGTTGTATTTTGTGTTTGGTTGGTTTAGCATGAACGTAAGATTACCGTGTTTGATTAAAGGAATAAAAGAATATTGGAATGTATATTTGACCAAATTGTCCATATTATATATAATTTTTTTTAACAAGTTGGAAAATATTTATATATTTTCTTTAAAAAAAATTAAATTCATAAAATTTATATATATATTTTTTACAAAATTAAAAACATAAAAATGTTTAATGAAAGAGTAAAATTTTATTTTAACCTCTGAACTTCATATAAAATTTTAATTATAGACTTTTTATTTGTAAATCTAAAATAGTTTAAGGATAAATTTGTAATTTAACCTTCGTAGAATTTTTATTATTCAATGACAGAAGAATGATATTTTTGAAAGAAAAAAAAATTATGGGCATTTTAGTCCAAAACGCCGGTGATCTAACAATACCTAAAGAAAAAGAGGTAATGAAATTCCCGGTAATATACCCAAAAATATCTACTATTGGTAATAAAACATTACCGGGAATGAGATTCCCGACCAACCAAACATGGGAATGTGAATTCCATTCTCATGAGAATCTCACATTCCTTGATCCAAACACCCCCTAATAGTGTGATATTCTGCCCTTAGACTTTGAACCGCCCCTAAGAATCTGTTCTAAAGAGAGATTGTACCTCCATTTAGTTCCAATACCCGCACATGTAGACCTAACGTGAGCTTAAGAGAATGTCGCTTACACCATAGTAGCTCTACTTATTAGCTCAAAGTGAGGAGATCGTGAAGACCTGACATCAAATCATTTCCCCCTAAAGATATAAATAAACTTACCAAATATGCCACCGATGTATGCTATTTTTTTTTAAAGAAGATAAGGGTCTCATTAAACACTCATTCTACCAACATAAGGTTGGGATCCTACAAGGGGAAAAGAGTACCGAACATTCATTAATCCGGTAACAAATCGTTATGTACATCAGAAGCGAGAAACTCGGGTATTCCTGCCCAAAGAAGGAAGCATTTGAATCAAGTGCTCTCTTACCAAACAATAGATTCTAACCAAATTAAGGAAGACTGACAAATAGAGGCAGAGATTGAACCTGGAATATCGATCATTCGCAAAACCTCCAGTGCAAAATCACAATCTCTAACCGCATGCATTATCGCCTAAAGCTCTGAATTGCAG